TGGCGCGCTCCGCACGCCAGGGAGGGAAGTCCAGCGCCGATCCGAAGAGTCCGCGCGGAGCTCCGACAGTTCATGCTGACGCAGTGCTTTGCTCATCGAGGTCCAGTCGGCGTAGCCGCGGTTGTACTTGCGGTCTCCGCCGCCGAAGAACCACATGCCCTTGTTGAGGTCCGAGAACATCGTGAGGACCGCGATGATCGGCCATCCTGACGAGGCCACCTTGATGAAGGGCGTGTTCCCCATGACGAGGTCCATCACCTTGTGGAAGGGTGGCATGTTGTGCGTCTGGCGGTTGGCGGCTGCCACAACCTGGCCGGATCAGCCGGCATCGAACTGGCAGACAGCGCCGCATCGGCACGTGCCTCAGACTGGGTCGCACCGGCACGGAGCCGGAACCGAAGCGCATCGGCGCGCCGTGAGGAACGGCGCCCAGGGACACACAAACAAATACACACACACACACATCCACGGATTCCCCATACTTTGCAGCATGTTTTCTGGATTTTCGTCTGCCTCTCCACTTCCCATATTCTCCCATATTTTCTTGGGAGTCGACGATTATTTGTGTCAACGTGTTTTTTCTCCTCAGCGTTAAGTCGGGCGTGCCCCTCTACAGGGGGAAGATTCAGAAATAGTCAAATAACAATATGGGGACGATGTTTTATTAAATTGTTGGATATGATTGTTGCAGTGTTCTAATAGATGTTTTATATTTCCTTCAAAATCTGCCTGTAGGGGGACGCACCCGACCTAAGATCAGCGCGATGTGATGAACAACAGCACCGTGCAATCATCGGGCCGCATCGGATCGTCTGAACATCGAAATCGAGTCGAGTCGGGCCGGCCATAATCGGCATCGGTTCGGATCGATCGGGCCCACATGGACCCCTCGCCTGGTTCGCGATGAGAAAGAAGAACCCGAACTCACACTCTTCCTGCGCGAGGGCGTGGTTCGCCGGGCTCCTCAACATCGTGAAGAACTTGTCCGACATCTGCATTTCGACCGCGTTGCGCTCATCCAGGAGATCCTACAGGACGACGCCCATGATTCACCGACGCCCGTCTCAGCCTAGCTCATGACGGGCCCAGTATCGATGTACACTGGCCAGCACGGCGTGTACACCGGTCTTGAGTCCACAGTGGGCCTGGCACGGGCCGGTGTCGGTGCAGAGTGGCCGTTGTCCTGTCCTTGGTGGTGGATCCGCTTCCTGCGGTCAACCACGTAAGCTTGACCCATTGGTTTGCCTCGCCGCGAAGCTCTGCCCAATCGAGCAGCTTCCAGTCCGTGCCCTCGCAGAAGTGCTCTCTGTGCAGCGTGTGGTGTGTCGAGAAATGCTGAAGGGCATAAAACACGGGCCAACGACTGAGCGCAACTGTGTAGACAGTAAAAACGCGGAAGAAAGTTTGCACCTTGTTCGCCATCGCGAGCAGCAACTCCGCATCCCCTCCTAACTGGCGATCCTCGTAAAATGCAAGAATGGTGAAGTAGAGAACGCCGAGGGGACATTCCCTTATTGCCTGGTCAGCCGTCGGGCCCTGCACGAGGTGTCGGAACTGCTCAGGCATGCCGAAGTCTGGCCTTCCGATGATGAGGGCAAGGAGGACGAGGGTGATGAGGGCGAGGATGGAGGATGAGGACGAGGATCTAATTCATCCAGCGGTTTTTGCACTTCGGGCATTCTTAATTGTTTTCCAAGGAACTGGGACTGTGCGCTGGTCTGGCGGCCTTGTAGTCACAGTTGCCGCCCCGTCGCCGCCCATCGTCTGGGCCTGTGCGTCGGTCTGGCGGCCATGTAATCGCCGTCGAAGCCCCGTCGCTTCCTCGTCGCCACCCACGGCTACGTAGTCGCCGTCGCCGCCTCGTCGCCGCCAATCGTCAGGGCTTGTGCGTCTGTCTGGAGGCTATGTCTTCGCTGTCGCCGCCCCGTCGCCGCCCCGTCGCGTTGCGCCACATAGATTGCTGTACATAGATCGCACCATCGACAGCACCACAAGAATTGCACCACACCGCTTGCACAGCGTGTATTGCTTCACCCAGGTTGCATAACATCTAATGGTCCATACAGATTACGCAACATAGATGGCACAACATAGATTGCACAGCCTATGCTGCACCACGTATACTGCACTACATAGATGGTTCAACCTATATTTCATCACATCGAATACGCCACATGGGTGGTTCTACGCAACTACATGCCATATCACCCATTGCACCACCTATACTGGACGACCTGGATTGCATCACACAGGCTACATTCTATAGGTTTCACCACGTAGCTTGCACAAAAGATTGCAGCAACTAGACTCTCCTTTCAACAAAATGGTTCTACCACCCTCCCCCCCGGGTTGAATATCCCCCAGGAAACGATGCAAAACACAAAGGATTCTGACCCAATGTCCATCCTACCTTTGAATTCATACTATCCCAGACAGGCCAGTATCGACCCCCCCGCCATCCTCTGCAAAAAAAACGCGCGTACCCGTTTACCAAAAATCATAAATGTTCAAGAACCCCTTGCAAAACACGGGACGAAAGGCACACGCGCGCGCTGTGGCGCGCGCGTGCCGGAATCCTTCAAAAACCTTTGGTTTCGGGAGGATGTCAAAATCAAGTTCCCCCCAAAAGCATACAAAAACAAAGGGTTTCGCAACACTGGTTTCCTGAAAAAGCTTCCACGCGCGCTCTTGCAAAATCTAAAAAAACCAATCGGTGTTTCAATATTTCCAAACAACCACTACTACCAAACGGGCTTCTCGAGCGCGCATGTCGAAATCGTTCGAACCTCCTTGCGCGCGTGCCGTCGCGAGAATCCTCTGCAAAAAAAAACGAAATGCACGCGCGCGCTGTGGCGCGCGCATGCTGGAATCCTCCAGAAACCTTCGGTTCCGGAAGGATTTCAAAATCGAGCGTCCAATAATCATACAAAAACACAAAGGTTCGCAAAAGTGTACGCGCGCGTTCTTGCGTCGTCGTCGTCGTCGCCGTCCTCTCTCCTCCCTCGTCGTCGGCGTGGTCGTCGCCGTCGTCGTCCTCCGTCTTTCCTCGTCGTCGTCGTAGTCGTCCTCGTTGGCGTCGTCGTCGTCGTTTCCGTCGTCGTTGTCGCCGTGGTCGTCCTTCCTCCTCCCTCGTCGTCGTCGTCGTCCGTCGTCGGAGTCTCGTCGTGGTCCTTCCTATTTCGTCGCCGTCGTCGTCGTCGTCGTCGTCATCGTCTTCCTCCTCCCTCGTCGTTGTCGTTGTCGGCGTCGCCGACCTCCCTCCTTTTTCGTCGTTCGCGTCGTCGCCGTCCTTTCTCTCTCGTCGTCGTCGTCGCTGTCGTCGTCGTCGTCGTCCTCCCTCCTCCCTCGTCGTCGTCGTCTTCGTTGGCGACGTCGTCGTCGTCGTCTTCGTCGTCGTCGGCGTCGGCGTCGTCGTCCTCGTCTTCGGCGTTGTCATCGTCGTCGTCGTCGTCGTCGGCGTCGGCGTCGTCGTCTCCGTCGTCGTCGTCGTCGTCTTTGTCGTCGCCGTCGTCGAAGTCGTCGGAGACGTCGTCGGTGTCGTCATAGTCGGTGTCGGCAGCGTCGGTATTGTCGTCGTTTTCGGTTTCGTCGTCGGCGTCGCTGTCGTTGCCAAGCGCCATTTGGTACCCACCGTCACGGTCTTAAGAGGTCTTGCGACCAAGTTGCGGGTGGGAGGGCGGGATGTCTGCACGAGCAGTTGAGAGGACAGCTTCAAGTTGAGCAAGTGTTTAATTGCACCACAAACATTGCCCCACATAGGTTTCACCACACATCTTGCACCACAGAGATTGCGCACCACAGGTTGCGCCACACAGGTTGCACGACATAGATTGTATCGCATGGATTGCACAACATAGGTCTGCACCACGTAGGTTGCACGTCATTGGCTGCGCCGGATAGATGGCACCACATATACTGCCAGAAGCACACTGGCTGGGGTCCACGCTGGATACAACTTGAGCAGGCACAATAACACAAAAGCTTTCGGGGATGCAAGGCGGATTCTATCGGGTCAGCGCTGGATCTCCGTCACCACACCCCCGGGGCGGCGAACCCAATGCCGCCCACAGGAGCGCGTGCGTGGTCAAATGGGTCCACCCCCGGCCCAAGAATCAGCGCGGACCTCTGAGAGCTTATGCTTATGCCCTCTGTCCAGTCAGCCGGTCAGTGCTTGCACTGAGGGGGTCCTCGCGGATGTTGAGAAGACGTGAAGCATAAGCCAATCTTTATGCGGCCTTGGTTGTTCCCGAATTCTCAGCTCAGGGTCTTGATGAGCAAGGGAGAGAGAGAGGGTGTGAGAGAAAGAGAGAGAAACAACAAAACAACACACATAGCAAAACATATAATCAACCACGCCAAGTATGCGTAATAATTCGCCGGGATTTGTTTAATCGAGCAGGGAGCTGAGTTCAGAGCGCAGAAAGCCTACAACATGAAGTAGCGGGCAATGAGCGGAGAGGCGAGAAGAGAGGGTAGAAAATGGAGGATAATGCGATGGAGGTGTAGAGGGTGAGACAGCAGTCGGCAGTAGAGTACAGAACACACATTCGGCAGCCGTTGCTCTCGCACATCAGTGCGCCTTGTCCTGTGACTGTGTGAAACCAATCCTTGTTTCACGCGCGAGCCGTTGACGTGGGTGCTCTCTGGTGGCATGTTGTGTTCGGCAGCTGGGGGAAGGCGCCCTGTGGAGCTGGCCTGTGGAGGAAGAGGAGGAGGAGGAGGAGGAGAAGGAGGAGGAGGAGGAGGAGGAGGAGAAGGAGCACGAGGACGAGGAGGACGAGGAGGAGGAGGAGGAGGAGGAGGAGGAGGAGGGAGGAGGAGCCTGTTGATGTCTGCCACCCTGGAGGCCACCCGCTCGTAGACGTCGTTCCAGTCCGTCGCCGCGGCTCTGGACGTGGCAACCAGGTCGCAGTCGTAGTCGAAGAACGGGGGCAGCTCCGCCGCGATGTTCTCCAGCCCGGCGGCGGCGTGGAGGCTCCCATCCTGTCCTCCTCCTCCTCCTCCTCCTCCTCCTCCTCCTCCTCCTCCTCGTCCTCCTCGTCCTCCTCCTCCTATCCTATCCTATCCTCCTCCTCGTCCTCCTCCTCGCTCTCCTCCTCGTCCTCGTCTGCTGCACCGTCGTCCTCCCCCTCCTTCTCCTCCTCCTCCTCCTCGTCCTCCCCCCGTGACGCTGCTACACGATACATCCCGTGAGCACAAGATGCCCGGTCGTCCTCCTCCTCCTCCTGCTACTCCTCCTCTTCTTCCTCCTCCTCCTCTTCATACCCCGCGGGGCTCTGGGCGCCAGCGGTGTAGGGACCCCGCGGCGAGGCAGGCACCTCTGGCGGGGTGGCGGTGCTTGCGCGCTCGCACATCATAGTCACCAGCCCGCCTTTCCTGGAGAGCCCCGTGTTGCTGGACGCGCGTCTGGTGGCCGCCCATGTGCACTGGGGAGTGGCGGGCGGGTTCGTCGCCATTTCTGCGTACTTCCACGACAATGTGGGGTGGAACGCGGACAACCAGCACGTGGCGGCCGTTCTCATGAAACACCTGGCCAAGCTCAGCGCGGCTGGGATCGACTAGGTACTAGGTCGTGGGCGGGGACTTCACCATGGAGCCCGAAAAGTTTCCTGTGCAGCAGCCCCACGGGGTCTGTGGGCTGTGGGCGGCGGCAGAGGATGCCACCTGCAGGCCGCGTGCTGGGGCCTGGTCGACGCTGGGCTACTTCCTCTTCGCAGCCAGCCTTGCTCCGAGGCTTGGCAGGCCGCGGGTCGACGAGCACGGCACGACAAAGCCGCACCTGCCCGTCGCATTGGAGATGCACGCGCAGGACCTTCCGATGCAGGTGCGGGTGGTGAGGGGGCCCGCGGCCGATCGGCCCTGTGCCGCCCGTGGGCTGCAGCCGCGGCGTCGAGGACTCGCGCATGCCCCTGGCCAAGGTGCGAGCAGCCGTCAGCTGAGAGCACCTCCCCGGGGCATGGGACGCCGTGGTGGCTACAGTCGAGCAGGAGCTCCTGGACCGCTACGGCGTCGTCGGGCATGACAGGACCAAGTACGTCGGCAGGTCTGGCGCTCTGGAGACGACTCTCGTCGCTGTCAAGTGGCGACCCCCTCGACACAGGGCCGCGCTTGGTCGCCAGGCCGCGGCGTGCCGCGCGGCGCCGAGGTGGGCTCGGCACCTGACGGGGGTCGGGGAGTACGTCGCCAAAGCGGTCCGCCAACTCCACGGCGCCAGCCTCCTCTGCCCGCTGTTCGAAGCCCAGTTTGACAAGCTGGCGGGGTTCCTGCTGGAGGCGGCGGTGTACCTCGACAGGATCATCGCCAGCCGCGGCACGCTGGCGCTCCTGCCGCACTGGGTGCAGGACTTCTTCGGCCAGCGGATGCTGATGTTCGCGCAGGCCGACTTTGCGGGCCAGGCGCCGAGGTTCGTGGAGTACGCTAACGGTCAGTATGAAGCGGCCCTCGAGGCGCAGCGTAAGGAGTGGGTCAAGTGGGCCGACGAGTCATTCCCCCACGGAGCTGGCCGCGCCCATCGGTGCTCCAAGGTCAGGGACTTGCAAGAGGTGGTCACTGCCTGGCATAGCCAGCAGCAGGACGCGAGCCCGCACCTGGTGTGCGAACGGGAGATGCAGCCGTGGGCAAAGGTGTGGCGGCGCCATGGGCTGCCGCAGGCTCGCAGGCCTGGGGGCATTGAGGAGTGGGATGCGCTGCGCGAACTCACCGTCGACAAGATGAAGAGGGCTGCGCTCTCATTGCCCACGGGCACGGCGATGGGGCCTGCCAAGATAGGCATGCGTGCCCTGTCTTTCCTGTCCGAGGACGGCATGTCTGTTTGCGCGCAGCTCTCCATGCGCATGGAGAAATTGGGCGCGTGGCCTGGGGGGCGCCTGTGGCACGCAATGTGTCGGCTGCCCAAGCCCCCATGCAGGGTGCCGCCTCATCGCGCTCATGTATTATTTCTTGCGCTGGTGGTCGAGGGCGCAGGCGGACATCTCCAAGGGCTGGCTCACGCAGCACCCCAGCGTCGACATCTGGGGGCTCGGCGCGGACAGGTCGTCGTCTGATGCAGTGTTCGAACTGAACCTCGAGACCGAGGTAGCGGTTGCGTTGGAGGAGCTTGGAAGTTCTTTGAGACGGTGGTCCCCAGGCCCTGATACAGGGGGCGCGGCTGCGCAAAATGCCGCTGCCGATGGTCTGGCTTTTGGCGCAGCTCTACAGGCAGCCCAGGCGGCTGCAAGCGTTCGGCTCGGCGTCCTACGAAGTTGTATCCTACCAAGGAGAGCTGGCTGGATGCGCGCACGCGTCCGCGCTCGCGTCGGTGCTGATGCACCGCGTGCTGGAGCGGGCGCGCTGCATGGGCGTCACTCCCAGGGCCCTCGTAGACGACGTCAGGACCGCGGGCAGCAACGTCGGCGTCTTTTTGGCCGCGGTCACGCGCTTCCGCGAGGAGGCCAAGCAACTGGGCATTATCGCGCAGCCCGCCCAGTCTGGCTACGTGACCTCCCCCAAGGGCCCACAGGCGCTGGCGCGGCGGCGCGGGCGCCTGCCGGCGTTGAAGCGTGCTTCTGGCCGCAAGGTCACCGCGCCGTGGCGCGGGGCTGCTCCCTTGCGCCGGCCACGGCGCGGGCGTCGTGGGCATCTCCGACGATGAGTTGCAGTGGCTGCGGGCTGAGGCCAGCCGGCTGGCGGGGGCGCGGCCAGGCCCGTCGGGCGCGACGATCTACCTGGCCACGCAGCACAGCGCGAGGTTTGATCCAGTCTAAGATGCGACGGCGGCGCTCGTGGTCAGGTACTCCAGCTGGGTCTGTGAGCAGAGGACATCGTTGGGCAGGCTTCAGCGCGCGTGGGCCTCCATCGCGCAGCGGCTAGTCGAGAAGCCGACGCGGGGGCCGGCGCGCGGCCCGATTGCCTCGACGACGCTCACGCTCTGGAGGATCGGCTGGTACATGTGGTCTAGACTGGTGCTGGTCACTGACGAGGAGCAGCACATCAACCTGCTCGCCACCCCGCCGTCGGACCTCAAGGCATACCTCGTCGAGGAGGTCAGCCGCTGGCAGGGGCGACAGATCCTGGGCCACTTCGTCGGCGCGCAGCCCACGGGGCCGATCTGGATGCGGGTCCTGAGGCTGTGCGTAGGTGGCAAGGGAGCCGCTGTTGCCGAAGGGTCTGCCGCCGCCAGCCTCAGGATCCACTGGGCAGGCGCGCCGTGGACCAGACAGGGGCAGCTAGACGTTGGGGCCGCCCCCGATGGCAGCTGTCTGGCGCGCGGAGCGGGGGCGGACACCCCTGGTCCCAGGCCGTGCGACTGCGAGGCCCTGCTGCGCGCACGCCAGGCTAGCTCCCCTGGAGGCAGCGAGCTTGGCACGGCATGTTTCGTTGCGAATAGGTCGTCGGTGGAGCAGGACGTCCTCCCTGACGGGCTGCAGCATATATGGACTGCTACTATGCGCGACAAGGGCCTGATGGCAGGCGGCGCGGGGGTCGCGGACTTCAGCGGGTTTGCGCATGAGGTCGGGCCCCTCGCGCCGCCGCCGCGCGTGCCGCCTGCGGCCGACGAGGTGGAGGTCAGGCTCTGGGGTGACTGGAGCGGCGCGAGCGACGAGCAGCGCGGGGACATTGCGTTCACCGATGGCTCGGGCTTCGCGACCAGCATGCCCGAGCTGAGGCGCTGCGGGTGGTCGCTGGCCCAGCTCGGCTCCAACGGGGCGCCCGTTCGCGCGGCCCTCGGGGCCCTTCCTGGCCGCCTGCTGACGGTGGGGCGCGCCGAGCGACACGCGCTCCTGCAGGTCACCAAGCTCCTGGGGCAGCAGGCGCGATTCGTGGCCACTGACCTGCTGGCGCTGGCCCAGGTGGCCATCAGCTGGGGGCCGGGGCTGGAGCGAGCCAAGTCGGTGCACGCCACGATGCGGAGGCACCTGCGGCAGCAGCCATGCCGCCCCGAGACGTTCTGGGTCCCCGCGCACCAGGACGTCGACGGGCACCTGGCGGCGGGGCTTCACCCAGTGCTGCACGCGGGCAACCTGTGGGCGGACTGGTGCGCCAAGCAGGGGGCTTTGCAGTGCACGGAGTTCTACGCCATCGAGGTGCAGCGCTGCAAGCAGGTGGCGGACTACACCGGAAGGGGCCACGCAGCGCTGCCTGGCCATCGGGGACTGGCCCCCGAGGCGCGCTACGTGCCCGCGGCGCCGCCGCCGCCCGTGCCGAAGCTGACGGTGGTGGGGCGCCCCCAAGTGCGCGCGCAGGGAAAGCGCGGAATGTTGTGCACCGAGAGCGGGCGCCGATCGCGTGCTGAGGCAGGTGCGGCGGCGCGGCAGTTTGTCAGATCGAGCAGTTTGCCGACGCCGCTGGCGCGCCTCAAGGCGGCGGCTGAGGTGGCGCATGTCGGCGCGGGGCCATGCTGGATGGGCGGCGCTGAGGGCCTGGATGCTGAGGCGCGGCAGCAGTGCGACGGTGGCAGGCCCTGCAAGCTTGCGCAGAGGCCGAACCCTTGGTTTCGCGAGGGGGGGCGGCGGTGGCGCGGCGCTGCACCTCGGGCATCGGCTGCGGCGCGCGGGGCCCACCATCTTCTGCGAGGTCTGTGTCGCGCGGATGCAGGCCCGAGCGGCGAGGGGGCTGCAGAAGGCGCGCTGCCGGCCGCCCACCGACAAGAGGCACTACCAACGCACCTACGTCAGCAACCTAGCGGCCGGGAGGGGCAGGCTGCTGCGCGGTCTGGGCCCCAAGATGGGCCGGTCATGGGCCAGGGGCACGCAGTTCGGTCGACGACTGCTCCGAGGAGGGCACCGACGAGGCGGCCGTGGCCCATGGCTATGGGGAGGAGGCCCCGCTGGCGGACGCGCAGGGGACCGCGACGCGCGGGTCTCCCGCAGCGCCGCGCGGCGGGCGAACGGAGGAGGCCCAGAAGGCGGGTGCGCAGGAGACCGCGACACGCGGGGCCCCCGCAGAGCTGCGAGGCGGGCGCGCGGAGGAGGCCCCGCTGGCGGACGCGCAGGGGGCCGCGACACGCGGGGCCCCTGTACCGCCGAGAGGCGGGCGCACGGACGCCAGCCGCCTGCTTGCGGAGGTTGCGGCGCGCCGCAGCGCTTGCGCGGCGCCAGCGCCGTCCTGGCGGGAACGGGTGGAGGTGCTGCGGCGGCGCGTTGCGACTCGCGAGGCTGGCCTTGCGGGGGCTGGCAGTGATCCCACGGCGCAGGTCGTGGAGGCGTTGATCGACACGGGGTGTGCTGTTGGTGATCGCGCCGAGTCATGGGCAGTGCGGAGGCAGCCACTGCTGCGGCGGTATCCGCGTGGCGCGGCCGCCGCCCAGGGCGGCCCTGCCGCGGCGGCCGCCGCGGCCGCTGGCCCTGGAGCGCAGGCTGGACCGCTGGGGGCGGTGGTGGATCGAGCCGCTGCTCGACGCCGACGGCGCGGCCAGCGACTGGCTCGACCACTGCGTCCCGTACGCGGAGGCGGTCCTCGCCCAGCCCAGGTAGCGGCGTTGCCTCAGGGCGATGGGCAGCGCGACTCAGCATCTGGCGGAGGCGTGGTGCCGCCGCGCCTGGCGCCGCGGAGCGAGGTTGCGCGGTGCCTACGCCAGGCGTCGCTCGGGCCTCACGCGGAGCCAGCGGTGCGTCACCGACGGCATGCGGAGGTGCGAGGTGCACTGCCTCCGCAGCTGGCTGGCGGCGCCTGCGGGCCTGCCGCCCGCGCTGGGCTGGGCTCGGGCGGCGCGCCGCAGGCCGCGGCCCGGGGCGGCGGCGCCTCGCGAGGGCCAGGGCCGCCTCAGCGCGCAGGCGGCGTCGCAGGAACACGGCGGCGGCGAGGGCAGCGACGCGGACCAGAGCGTTGCTTGAGCGCGCCCTGTCGCTGTCCCTCTGCGCGCCCGGTGGCGGCGGCGGCGCGTTGCGCTGGCCGCAGGCCGCATCCCACAAACGCGGCGGCGAGGGTGGCTAGGCGGCGGCCGCCATGTCAGCGGCGCGGCCCACCTCGCGCAGGTCGTGCGGCGCCGCGGCGCAGGCGGCGACGCGGTCGTCGTGTCGTTCGGCCTGCCCTTCGACCTCATCTGAAGTCCCCCGAGGCGCTGTTTGCTAGTCAGACGGCACCCTGAGGTTCCTGTTCTCCTGTTCTCCTTTTTCATATCCCAGACGAAACATGGAGGCGAGCGTCTAAATTGTGAGTGATGAGAGGTGGATTGGGATGTTATTCAAGAGTATGGTGGAGGCGGCCTTCTTAGCGGAGGTGTTGGCAAATCCGCTTGGAGAAGCGGACGCCCAACAATTGGAGAGTATCGGGCGAGCTTAGCGATGAGAGCTCTACCAGGTAGAAGGTGCCCGAAGGCCGAGGCAACGGATGAAACATCCAAAATATATGCTGCCCTGCCGAATGCTGATGTGCGAGAGAGGCTAAAGCTCCAGGCACCCTTCAGTCTATAGCGTGGACAAGGGATAAGCTAGTGGCAAGGGATCACCAGACACCCAGCGAGATACATGCTGCTCATTGCCGCGATAATTGACGCTCCTGCCTGGGACAGGTTTATTTTGTGCGACGATTATGGGGGCGCCAAACCGAAGCCTTACGAGAGTGCAGTCCACCCGTGGTGGGGTAAGGTGCTGCTTGAATTATGGATGTGCGTGGAAAACCTTGTCAATGCCAGAAGCACGCCCGATGCACGTTCGGAGGCCCCTTCCTGTTTTCGTGATCAGAAGGTGCGGGGATGCTGTGCCCGGGATATACGTTACGACGCTCAAGAAGCCGAAAGCAGGACAAAAGGATTTTAACGTATATTCATCGGGAGGAGGTCCAGGCAGAAGAGGCAATGACCGTTGAGGGCAATGGCCAGGACGGGGGCGGAGGCGAGCGTGCAAGACGAAGGTGGAGGCGGACGGAGGCGGGAGGATCAAGGAGAGACAGGAGGATAAGGAACCGCCCACAAGGGGACGCAACACCACCTCCCCCAGTGCCGGAACCACCACGTCAAGCTCCACACTTGTGCAGGATCAGTGGCTGCGGGGCTGGCTTCGGAGCCAGGCGCCAGCTTTTGCTGCACCAGGCGGACTTCCAGACCGACGGACATGAGACAACGTGCCTAGCAAAACTGCTCACTGCCTCGAGCAAGTGTGCTTACTGTGAGAATTGGTACACGACCAGGAGGTATGCTCCAGAACATCTGGAACAGAGTGTCAGAAAAAAGGGAGGTCTCCTAGGAGCAGGGGGTCGGTGAAAGTACATGCGCACGTGGTCGATCCCCCCTCATCAGTGTGTGGTATGTGATGTTGAGTTTTCTGCGCACGATGTTGCCATAGTACATATGTGTGGACATATGCCGTCTACCTAGCTACGTGATTGTACGAGTGCGTGTTGACTTTGGGGGCTCGGGTCTCTGTTGTCTTGTTCTCTCCGTCGTGCTGTACCTTGCGGTAATGGAATCGTGGGGACAGCAATTCTTTAGTGCGGGCCCGGGTGACCCTACGGCTGAGCCGCAGGGACGTGGTATCACTGATCGTGCTGCTGCGTCGGCGGGGCGGATGAGACAGAGAAGGCATCTGTGGCAGCCAAGTTGGGTGTGAAGGCACATCAGAAGACCAGGTTGCTGGAGCCAGCATGCACAACACATACTGAGCTTGCAACGGACGACAAAAAAACTCATGCAAACAAATAATGATAATACCTTTTGAGGGTCAAGGGGAAGACGGGGCATGGCTTAGACCACCCCGACACGTTGCAGATGACGGCAGCGGTGCTCACCCTGTTGGAGCCGTGCGCCGAGCACCGAAACCCCCGCTGGCCAAGCACCTCGAGGAACGTAAGCTTGGGTCGAGCGCGGCCCAGCACTCCGTTGGCCTCCTCAGGACTGAGCATCCCCCCTCCTCCTCCTCAGCACCTCCTCATCCTTCTCCTCCTCCTCCCCCTCCTCCTCCTCCCCCCCCTTCTCCTCCTCCTCCCCCTCTTCCTCCTCCTCCCCCTCGTCCTCCTCCTCCTCCTCCTCGTGCTCCTCCTCCTCCTCCTCCTCCTCCTCGTGCTCCTCCTGCTGCTCCTCCTCCTCCTCCTCCTCCTCCTCCTCCTCCTCCTCCTCCTCCTCCTCCCCCTCATCACTGCTGTACGTGGCCCAATCTTTGAGCGTGCGCTTGCGCAGGCTACAGATCGGGGGCGCGCAAACATGGATCAGCGATCCACGGATCTGGCGGCACCTCCCAAACACGCGGCCGGTGCCGCCTCGTCCGGCAGCGGCAATCTGCGACTCCCTGTGGAAACGAGACCCCCCGCTGATCTCAACGAACCTTTGATCCGTATTCGCGATCGCCTGAACAGAGGCCAGGCGTCTGCGGGCCCCAGGCCTCCAGGACACCTGCCGCTCGAAGGCCAGAGGCCAATCGAAGCGTCCAGGTCGATGGTGCCTCAGCAGCTTCCGCGCTCCGTCCCGGCGCTGCCCTGGGGGCCGGTGCGTGAGTTTGTGCGCTCGAGCGAGAATGTTCGTGCGCCGTCTCTCCTGGACTGCCTCAATTTCTGCAAGCCTTGCGAGTGCCAGGGGTCCCTGGGAAGCGCTGCAGTGCTAACCCGGTGCATCTTGGCACAACTGCAAGTCTTGAGTGTCCCTCTTACAGGTGGGGCCCGCGACCTGTCCGAGAAGCTGCCCCCTTCCAGGGAGCCTTCCCCCCTCCTCCTCCTCCTCCTCCTCCTCCTCCTCCTCCTCCTCCTCCTCCTCCTCCTCCTCCTCCTCCTCCCCCTCCTCCTGCTTCTCCTCCTGTTCTCCTCCTCCTCCTCCTCCTCCTCCTCCTCCTCCTCCTCCTGCTCCTCCTCCTCACCTCCTCCTCCTCCTCCTCCTCCTCCTCCTCCCTCCTCCCTCCTCCCTCCTCCCTCCTTCCTCCTCCCTCCTCCCTCCTCCCTCCTCCCTCCTCGCCCCTCCTCGGCGGCAGCGCGGCGAACGGCGAGCCAGGCCGCGAGCGCTGCGCGCGGCGTGCCAGCACGCCACGGCGACCGCGGGCCACGTGGCATGCGGCGGCGCGGGGGGCCGCGGTTGGCCGGGCAACGCCGGGGGGGGTCACCACAAGGAGGCGGAGGGAGGAAGAGGAAGGGGAGGAGGAGGAGGAGGAGGAGGAGGAGGAGGAGGAGGAGGAGGAGGAGAAGAAGGAGGAGAAGTCGGAGGAGGAGGAGGAGGATAGGGGAGGATTGGATAGGACTCGGCCTTGCGCGTGTGCGGGGACGACGCAGCGATGCACGTGATGTGACGCTCGTGCAAACTACAACCTCGAACAGTCGCATATCTACTATACGAGGTTACGAGGTTACGGGCAACGCGCGCCGTGCAGCACTCGGCACGCTGGTATCGGAGGAGGAGGAGGAGGAGGAAGCCCAGACCTCCAACGTGCTGAACAAATCCGTACGATTGTTAGAGACCTGGGACTGAACTGCACAAGGGGAACGGACTTGGGAAGTGTTCGTGCTAATTTTCGGATTAACGTAGAAATACAATCCTTAGATCAACAAGGGGGTCAGAAAGAACTCTTCCCTGCAACCAACCCACAAGGGAACGGACCTCCAACGTGCTAACACCTTTTGCGCAACTTTCGGCCTCTGGGGGCCCTCGCCGGGCCGCGGGGCCGTCAGAGAACGCCTCGGGATGGACAACCGGGCTCGGGCAACGCGTCAGGACTTCAACGCCAGCCCTTCATTTGTCGCGGGCACGGCGATCGCGCGAGTCCATCGACGAAGCAGGGCTGCCACTGCGCAAAGCAGTGCTTAGCGTCACTGCCATCCCTCCAGTTTTCATCTCCCTCTCTCCATTGCCGCTGCTCTTGCTTCGTCGATCTGTCCGTCACTGAAGCGCTTCAGCGCGAAGCCGTTACCTCTGGGGTGAACCAGCACTTGCCTTAGGTCGGGCATGTCCCCCTACAGGAGGATTTTGGACGACAAATAAAGCAAGAATCCAAACATACTCAGAACTATTCGGGTTCAGATATCGTCCGCAAACTACTTTTCGACTAGTTTGGAAGGTTCCTCTGGTACAGGCACAGGCCCAACTTAGCACTTGCCCAACAGAAGCAAGGCCACGGATTGGCAGCTCGACTTGAGCTGCACGAGGCTCTGAACTTGTCAGTGCATCTCTCGGCGTGGGGGGGGTCGCTTCATCGTCGAGGAGGAGGGGGTCGCCACGTCCCCAGATCTCCGACGCTGTGATCAGTTAGACCCCAATGGTTTCCTTGATTTCGGACTCTGGGGCCCATTCTCAGGCCCCTGGACCAATGAATCCTGGATATATTTTGTTTTCGGTGTCCGCTCCCATCTCCTGCTCCTTCCACCCAATAAAAACAAAAAAAACAATGAATCCTGGACGAATCACCACCCCAGGGGAAGCGGTCAAGAACCCTGGGACCGCGGATTGAAAGATTGTACCGTCGGGTGTCTGGGGGGTCGGGGTCGCCACCTCGTCGAGGGGAACCCTCATCGAGGAGGACTCAGAGGAGGAACAGATACCGATACCGCTGCTCGCCCTAGAGAACCCTCGCCCCCACGACTGCATTCTCGCCGATATCCTGGTCAGAGCGCACCCCGCAGGGTCCAGGGAGTAAGGGTATTAGTATCTTTCTGTCCCCCCATCGACCCTGTCGCCCCCCAGAGGCTCCCCAGAACGTTCGGTGTCGTCCAGGATCTCCTCGATCCAGGGTCCTGGAACATCGGTCCTCAGCGACCCCCACTGCCGCAATGGCGACCCCGCTCAGCATTGCCTGAGGTGGCATGCCGGCAGCTGGAGCCGAACTGGCTAGGCATTCGGGGTGACGATCGGGGCGAATAGCCAAGGGGAACGCAACACCCTGAGATCCAACGTCGCCCAAAAAATGCAACATCGCAAAAACTCACGACCGGAGCCCCGGACCATATCTTTCTGCGTCATTTTTCGAGCCGGATCGATCTGTGAGGCTCCCGGGGCCCGAAATTGAGCGAAAACGCCCGGTGCGAAAGAATTGCAACGCCAGGATCTCGGGGTACGTGTACGTATCCAGGGGCGCCGATGGTCCACACGTTCGGTGAGGCTCCCGGGGCGCATGCGTGGAATGCCCGCCCCTGGGCTACTCGCCCCGATCGCCGCCTCCGAGATAGTACACGGCCGCAGGCCTCTCGCGCCGGCCGCGCGGGCGCCATGCCGCTCTTGCCGACCCGGCACCCTCTCCCTTCCTCACTCTTTCTATCCCCCTCTCCCTCTCTCCCTCTCCCTCTCCCTCTCACTCTCTCTCCCCCTCTCCCTCTCCCCCTCTCCCTCTCCCTCTCCCTCTCTCTCGCCCTCTCTCCCTCTCCCTCTCCCTCTCCCCCATCTCCCTCTCTCCCTCTCCCTCTCTCTCTCGCCCACTCTCGCCCAGTCTCTCTCCTTCTCTCTCTCTCTCGCCCAGTCTCTCTCTCTCTCTTTTTTTTTTTCTCTCTCTCTCTCTCTCTCTCTCTCTCTCTCTCACTGCAAAGCAAGGGAGGGAGCGGTCCCAGAGTCCCTCCGGCGGGCGGCCCCGGCAGGGCTGCGCCGGCGTCCTCGCGCGCCGGGAACGCAGAGCTGGAGGCGCATGGTGCGGGAGGGGGGCGTCCAGTGGATGCCACAACTGGCCATCGCTCGGACGTCCAGTCGCTGTGTTTTTTTCGGTGTCGTGCGTGGTCTTTCGCCAAATGGTCAAGGATGTTCCTCGATGGTCCTCGCCGAAGGAAAAATGCGCACGTCCGAGCGATGCCAAGGCCTTCCACAAGAAAACCCAATCCTGAGACCCCAGGACGTTCACTGACTCTTGGTTCGGGAGCGTCGCGCTCTCCATCCCAAAATCATCGAAGCCCAACAAACCTGGGGCACCCCTTGAGGCAAGCAGGGTGTTTCTTGGCATGGGCCCCCACTGTGTGGGACACTTGAGTGGACCCCGAGACAGGCTCGCGCCACGAAGAAGAAATGGGGACGTACTCAACCCCTTAAGCATGTGGCGAATATGCATCGGAAGATCACTCACTGCAAAAACAACCATTACACGATCCGCAATGCCCTTGAACGCTTCGCCGAACATCGTCGGGTCAGTCAGACGTTTCACAGACGCGGCGCAGATGTTTAAGAATCACGTCGTTGGCAGGAGAGCGACCCAAAGGGGGCGTGGAAGCATGTCGAAGAAGGACACTTGGAGACATAATTCGTGGGAGTAGCAGCGCCTTGCACTGCGTTCGCATTGCGGGGCACCGCTCTGCGCGCTATGCCAGCACAGCGCCTTGCACTAAACGTGGCCTCTGCCCGCACGCATTACAAGCAACAGGCAGCTGGTACAAGGATGCGATATGGGCAACGGACAGCGCCATGCGCTACTCGCTGCGCGGCGCTCGCACAAGCTGCGCCACTCCGCTGGCCCTCCCAAAAACACGCAGCTCCCCAGGGGACGGCAGGTCTCGTGATCTGCACAGGAAGTACCTCCGCTGGCCCTCCAAGACGCAAGCGAAAATGGCGACAGTTTCACAGATCTCATACCTCCGCCGGCCCTCCAAGATGCCGACGAAAATGGCGACAGTTTCGCAGATCGCAGCCCCCCAGAGGACGGCGAGGTCTCGTGGTGATCTGCGCAGGACGTACCTCCGCTGGCCCTCCCACAAGCCAAAGAAACTGGCGACAGTTTCGCAGACCGCAGCCCCCCAGAGGACGGCGAGGTCTCGTGATGATCCGCGTAGGACGTACATCCGCTGGCCCTCCCAGCAGCCCACGAACGTGGCGACAACTTCGCAGATCGCAGCCCCCCAAGGGACGGCAAGGTCTCGCGGTGATCTGCGTAAAACGTACCTCCGCTTGCCCCCCCGGAAGCCGACGAAAGTGGCGAAAGTTTCGCAAACCGCAGCCACGCGGGGACCCCGAGGTCTCGTTGTGATCTGCGTATGACGTACATCCGCTGGCCTTCCCCCGTGGCGACAGTTTCGCAGATCGCAGCCCCCCAGGGGGCGGCGAGGTCTCGTGGTGATCTGCACAGGACGTATCGCTGCTGGCCCTCCCAAAGCCGACGAAAGCAGCGACAATTTCGCAAACCGCAGCCCCCCAGGGAACGGCGAAGTCTCGTGGTGATCTGCGTATCACAGACTTCCGCTGGCCCGCCCAGAAGCCCACGAACGTGGCGACAGTTTCGCAGAACGCAGCCCCCCCAGGGAACGGCGAGGTCTCGTGGTGATCTGCGGAGGACGTACCTCCGCCGGCCCTCCAAGATGCCCACGAAAGTGGCGACAGTTTCGCAGATCTCAGCACCCCCAGAGGACGGCGAGGTCTCGTGGTGATCTGCGCAGGACGCCTTCGCTGGCCCTCCCAGCAGCCCACGAGAATGGCGACAGTTTCGCAGACCGTAGTTTTCAAGGTCGCGTGGTGATCAACGTATGATGTACCTCCGCTGGCCCTCCCAGAAGCCCACGGGAGTGGCGACAGTTTCGCAGATCGCACCCCCCCTTGGGGGCGACGAGGAAGAGGAGAAAGAAGGGAGGAAGGAGGAGGGGGGCAGGGGTGAGTGAGTGAGTGACTGAGTGATGGAGACCACGGTGCCCTATTCAAAGCGAATGCCCAACACAGGAGGGGCGGGAAACACTCAAGTAGGCCCTCGGCTCGCGGATGGGGCAAAACACGACCAGGGCAAGCAATCACTACCCCGCCTTACTGGTACATCATGACCAACGTCTTCCACAGCGGAGAGGACTCCGCACTTGGAGACGATGCTGGGCCAGCTGCCGCCCCCCCCCCCTGCGGCCACCCACTGCTGAGGTGGGCGCGCGTGCGCCACACCCAGGCCCGAATGCAAACCCGAAAGACAGACGAACCTTCAGCGCCGAACCTCGTCCGCCTCAGCGGACACGTGGTCCAAACGCCCCCCCCATACAACTCTAAACGGGCTGGCGCCTGCGGGGTGGGGCCGCTGGGGTGATCCACCCCTCACATTGCAACGTTCCCAAAGAGAATGGCTGGAGCCTGGCTTGGGCGATTCTGCCTGGGACGTCCTGAAAATGTCCTTGGTTTG